AGCAGCAGCAGCAGCAGCAGCAGCAACAGCAGCAGCAGCAGCAGCAGCAGCAGCAGCAGCAGCAGCACAACGGTAGGAATATTAGTTGCTTTAGTATTAACTGGGGATGCCCTAGGGGGTGTGTTGCTGCTGATGTGTGTTTCTGTCTCTGTTTTTTTTGTCTCTTTTTTTCTCTTTTGTTTCTTTCTGTCTCTCTCTTCTCTCTGCTTCTGTCTCTCTGTCTCTGTCTGCATTTGTTTATATTTATATTTGTCTTTGTCTTTGTCTTTGTTTTTTTTTTTTCTCTGTCTCTGTCTCCGTCTGTGTGTTGTCTCTGTGTGCACTTTGCTGCTGCTGCTCCTCTACAGTCTTACCCTTGGTCTTGCAGCATCTGCTGCTGCTGCTGCTGCTGCTGCTGCTGCTGCTGCTGCAGCTGAAAAGCAGCAGCAAAAGCCGAGGATGTGGGGTGTAGCTGCTGCCTCGACGTCAGCTCCCAGCAGCAGCTCCTCCAGTACGCGGAGACCCCTGAGGCCTGCAAGCAGCTGACCCCGTTTACTCCTGCTGCTGCTGCTGCTGCTGTTGCTGCTGCTGCTGCTGTTGTTGCTGCTGCTGCTGCTGCTGCTGCGTCTCCTTTGGTGTGTATGAGGCCCCACACGTCCCCGCAGTCGATCACTTCGCCCCCCAGAGGCAAATCAGCCCCATACAACGAGCTGTCTCCTGCTGCTGCTGCTGCTGCTACTGTTGCTGCAGTTGCTGCTGCTGCTGCTGTTGCTGCTGCTGCTGCTCCTTCTGTCGATGCGGATGCTGCTGGAAACGCAGCTTCTGCTGCTGCTGCTGCTGCTGCTGCTGCCCCTGCTGCTGTCTCTACAGCATCTGCTATTTGCTCCACAGCAGCTTGACAGTCAGTTGCTGCTGCTGTGTCTGCTGCTGCTGCTGCTGCTGCTTCTGCTGCTGCTGCTGCTGCTGCAGTTGAGGGGCTGAGAGCCTCAAGGGAGACAGCAGGGAGAGAGGAGCCCCTCTTGACGGCGCCCCGTCCCCTTGGGGTGTACATACACCCCAGCTGTGTTTTTGTTTTGTGTTGGTTTGTTTCTGTCTCTGTTTCTGTTTCTGTCTCTGTCTGTGTCTTTTTATTTATATTTATATTTGTC